ATCTTTCCACATAGATGCATTCTAGTTTGTATGAAAAAGATAACCATCCAAAGCTTGTCCAATCTCAAGGATATTCTAATAACTAGCTCAAGCAATAAGCATTCCAACAAATAAGGCCACATTCTTTCCTGCAATTTTTATTCAAGCAATATTCTTTATTTCCTTTTCTAACACTAAAATCTTTCAATACAGACTCTTTTCAATTGTCTACACTACATCAAGTGATTTTTCAAAAGACTACTACTACATAGTATTAGCAAAAACAAGTATGGCAAGTTGGCAACCACTTGCCTTCTATTGTTGTATTATGTGTATTCTTGCTTGAGAATGCATTAGGCACCTAACTATAGAAGGTAAGTAAAAATATAATAATAATCCTACCAAGTCTAATAGAGTATTAAATAAAATTTAAGTAATCTTTAAAAATCCAATTCAAACTTTAATCAAGCTAAAGTAAATTTAAAAGAAGTTACAAAAAAAATACAAAGAAATTATAAATTAATCTCAAAAAATAATAATAAAAAAAATAAAAAAATAAAAAAATAAAATCTTAAAGAAATAACAATAACCTTAAAGAAACATTAGAAATATTTTTTTAAAAGAAACAGAAAATAATCCTTAAAAAATATTTAAAATAGAAATTTAAAATAAATTCTAATAAAATCCTAATAAAATCTTAAATTAACTTTAATTAAAATCTTAATGGATCTTAATCAAATCTTAGATCAGATCCTAATTAAATCTTAATTAAAAACCTAATAAATCTTAATAAAATCTTAGATCAAATCTTAATTAAATTCTAATTAAAACTTTAATTAAAATCTTAATGAATCTTAATTAAATCCAAGGTCAAATCCAAATTAAATCTTAATAAAACTTAATTAAATTTTAAATCAAATCTTAATAAAAAATTCATGAAATACTAAATCCTAACCAAATTCTAACCAAATCTTAGATCAACCTTAATAAAATCTTAAATTCTAACCATAATCTTAAATCAAATCCTAATAAAATTCTAATTAAATTTTAAAAAAATCTTAAGTAAATCTTAATCAATTAATATAATTCTTTATAATTCAATAAATATTAATTAAATTGTTGATCTTGACTAAAATTTCATCCAAACTTCAATCAATAAGCAATTATCAAGCATACAAAAAATGAGAAGAATTAGACTTATCAATTATGAAAAAAGCTCTTAGAACATCTCAATTGTTGGTTGTCATCCTTCTTTGACTTGAATATTCATCTTCTAACAAAGATTTCTCTTTGTTGAACCATTTAATTGCTCCAAAAATTAAATCCTATGAAATTATTCAAGTCTCCATTGCTCTCAAAAATTTTTGCTTCAATCGAACTAGCACATACTGCTAGATTGTGAAATCCCTCACTACTTATAAATTTCAATTATTCAAGATCATAATCTATAAAAACTCTCATATTCTTCAATCTAATTCCCTGATTAACCTTAAATTTTTTAAATACGTTTAAAAAAATTATAATAATAATTTTTTAAACTTTTATTTCTAGATATGCTACTAAATTCATAAAATCCTCAAATTTGTAAACTTATTTTTATTTCTCAAAATCTAAATCCACCAAGTATACTATTAACTTTAGAAATCTCTCAAAACTTCAATATTAATCTAAATAATGTAAAACTAACTCTTAAATATCTTTTCATAAGTCAGCTCTATAATTCCACTATCTAATTGATAAAAGAATCCTAGAGTCACCATAGGTGCATGATTTTGTGCCTTGTGGTTTGATTTTGATCCAAGCTAACAATAAGTTCTCTCTGAGTATCAAATTTTGATAATTTGAGGTAATTTTTGCTTAAACCTATTTTTAATTCTCTCCTAAAGATACCAATATTATTTACTTATCTTATTTATTTTGATTTGAAGTATTTATATCTTTACAAAATCAATAGAAGTTACTTCTATAAAAAATACCATTAAGACTAAACTTTTTACTACCTTCTTATCATTTATCTTTATTTTTCTACTATATTTTTTTGCTAAGCTCTTATATAATAATATCCATATATATATATATATATATATATATATATATTCACCATATAGTTATGTTATTACACAATACCACCAAGTTTAATAATCAAAGATCAAATAAAGTGGTTGTCTTAATAAGCTAAGATTTTCAAACTAAAAAAAATAACTCTTGATCTCTCTAAGGTAATTGTAAATATACACAATATCAAAAATCCCATTTGTAAGTAGAAGGACCTAGTTTAAGAATTTAAATGGAAAAATATTGATCATTAAATTATCCATTGTATTTGTGTAAAACGTAGCTTGATATTACTTTTGAACCTTAAGTTCCAAAAACCATACCAACATCTATAGATATCTTTTAATTCAATGCTCAAAGATTTCTTATCAAAAGGCTTTATATAGATGTTATGTCCATTTTTAATATCAAAAAAAATTTCAATAAAATCTTTGCTGAACAACAGCCAATATGATGTTGTATAACATGAATTCTTGCTTGAAAATGCTCTAGACATCTAGCTATAGAAGATAAATAGAAGATGTGACAACAAGATCCTACCAAGTCTTAAATAAACTCTAAGTAATCCTTAACCATCCTAATCAAACTTTAACCAATATAAAAAAATTAAAAGAAATTACAAAAAAAATATAAAGAAGTTATGAATTAATTTTAAAGAAAAATAATAAAAATAATAAAAATAATCTTAAAAAACATAAAATATATATTTATAATATTGAAGATAAAAATTCTAAATAAATCTTTTGTAGATCCTAATCAAATATTAATATAGTTCTAACTAAATTCTAAATCTTAAATCAAATCGTAGACTAAATCCTAAATCAAATCCTATAAAATCCTAAATAAATCTTAATCAATTATTATAGCTATTTTAAAATCTTAATAAATATTAATTGAATTATTGATCTTGACTAAAAATTTATTCACATTTCAATCCATAAGCAATTAACAAACACACAAATTTTGAAGAAAATCAATTTACCAATTCAAAAGAAAAAAAGCCTAAATTGCTTAGATGTTGGCCGCCTTTCTTTTCCAACTAGATATAGATATTCCAATAGCTATTTTTCTTTGTTGAGCCATTTAATTTCTTCAAAAATTAGCTCGTATGTATAATTCTAAGTCTAACTATCTACCAATTTTTGCTTCAATCAAACTAGTCCACATTGTAAGATTGCAAAAACCTTCATTGACCTTATTTTCTTTTTTCTTTCACCTAATAAATATATTACTACAAAACAATGGGCCCAAATCTCCACTACTAGATCATATATACTTCTCAATCTCTTCCTTAATGCAAATATTAACCACAATCTATTCACACTATACCTAATGTCCTATAAAAATAAGAGCCAATAACTTAGAGAATAATAATAAACTTGCTACATCACTTACAGAATAAATACTTGCCAAATCTTGATAGACTTGGATATCAATAGTTCTTTAACACATGACAAAGCAACTTCTGCATAGGGAGCTATATGAGCACCTTCTCTCTCTTAGCCACACGAACCAAGGATAATATCAACTATTGCAACCTTGTAAGACATGTCATCACCTTTGACTCAATTCTATGGCCAAGCCAAACACCACACCAACATCACATGCCTAGAGAAACTCCTTGCCCCAAGCCAAGGGTTCAAAGACTAAGGAGCCCAAGAAACCCCAAGCCTCACATTAAAATCCCTAGGAAATTACCATGCATGCCATGTGTCCAATGTAATTTTATCTATCTTTTTCAAATAAGCCAACCAAGCACATTTCAATAGCAGATGATAAGTCAAATCACTGTAGGGTGCAAGGTTCCAAGTTCAATCCTTGTGGTTGGCAGAGATTATGTTTTCTTTTTCTTTACCTTTGGATATTCATGGCAACACATCTTCCCAAGCTGCAAATCTGAGGGTTGCTTCTCCTTGGCTCTCTTTACTTGCTCATAACATGGCAGCAGTAAATGCATTGCATACATTTGGAAGCATAAAGAAGCATGAGTTTGGAGAAAAAGTGAAAGTAAAGAAAGTCCAGTGAAAAAGGTAAAGAAGGCGACACTGTGAGTGTCTGCCACCTCCGTTTTTTCTGAGTATCCCCTTCGCAATCGACATTGATTTCGTCAATGCAGTATGAGTGGCGATGAGCATGCCAAGTAAAGGTGATGGCGACGACGCTTCACCTCGACTCCTCCATGTTCAAACTGCCACACGCATGTCCAGTTCTTTTCCTAATAGTTCTTGGTCATCATTCGAGTGAAGATTCTAGATATCTGCCCTTGTCCGTGATTCGAGCTGTGGCGAGAGCATTTTCTTCATCAGGGATAGCTTCTCCGCGTTGCTGCAATTGCTGCTTACAGTGACTGTTCGCCATATTCATCATGTCCGTTCATCGTCCTGTGAGAAGGATGAATACCTGGAAAGCAGAGTAATCGTACAATGTGATGGCGCTCACACAGAGTGTCATGTTTTCACCCTGTGCTGAACAGCAGTTGAAGTGTTACGATAGTTTATGTGAAGCAGGATAAATACTTTCCGATTGCGCTCGACTAATGTACTGTGACACAACCATGTTGAGAGAATAGTGTATCAGTAGTGTGAATTTTTGTTCGAAAACTAAACCGGCACAACAGTTGCTGTGAGAGTTAGCTAATAATTCAAATATGATTTCAGAGTTAAGTTAGACACGCACACGGAAGATAGATCGTCAATTGAATGGGACATGTACTTAGGTCGACAAGAATGATGTCAACTCGACATCAGGTATGACTTAATGTTAGTGAATATACACAAGCCAGATAGTTTAGGAAAAGGTTGCCGATAGTGTGCTCAGATTGCTAAAAAATGAACAATCCTCCTCTGTTACAAAAGAGGATATGAAATTTGATTAACTTGTTATTACTTGTTGTTAAGCAGTCTACCAGGATTACCGATGGAAGGTATCAGTTCAGGTTTCCAAATCAAAAATACAAGGGAGCAAGGTTGACACGGAATCAGAGACAATGCTCGGAATGGTTGGTTACCACCACAAAAAACTCGGCGATGATGAATTGCAGTGATCTGAGAACAATGATCATCAGATGAATAGCAATATGCAGGTCAGTCCGATGATTCCCTTATAATCACTACTCTCGTTCGCCTAGTGTACAGAAATGCAAGAACGCCAGTTTTTAGGAAAGACATCCACACAAGGGGAATCCTATCCATGGGAGGTCGACAAGTGGTCTAGACAGTCACGCCGGAACCAGCCACAATCTCCAGAATCTCTCCAGTGATCTTGGCTTGACGCTGCCTGTTGTATGAGATGGAAAGGCTTTTCTTCAAGTCAGCAGCATTGTCTGATGCGTTGTTCATTGCATTCATACGAGCGGCAAGCTCACTCGCAATGGACTCCTGCAGAGCTCTCAAGAGCTGGCTGTTGAGGTAAAGGGGCAGCAGAGCGTCAAGGATCTGCACGGGCTCCTGCTCGAAGGTGAGCACCCCACCGAACTCAGCGGTTTCGGTCCTCACGGTTTCTCTCTCCACGGAGAATTTCCCGTCCTTGGTGGTCAACCTGAACATCTCGTCATCGGCGGCATCTACGCAGTTTCCACTGATGTCACAAACCTCGCCGGCTGGGGAGAGTGGCAACAGGGTGTGGATGATAGGGTCGGACTTGATAAGCGACACGAATCGAGTGTACAAGAGCTCCACCTTGTCAACCTCCTCCGAGACGAAGAGAGCAAACAGCTCATCAGCTATGGCCTGGGCTTCCTTGGTAGTGGGGGCGTTGCCGGCATCCAAGAACTTGTCCACTGGGATATCGGGCCTCCTCTTGAAGTAGCTGTTACCCTTCTTACCAATGCTCACTATGGTGTAGGCGACTCCCATGTTGCGGAGCTCAGCCATCCTCAGCTCGGCCTTCTTCAGCACGTAGTTGTTGAAACCACCGCACAATCCCCTGTCTCCAGTGATCACAACAAGCGCAATCTTCTTCACAGGCCTCACCTGGACAACCCATAACCAAAATTCAGAATGTCCAGAATTCAGCAGCTATGATGCACTGCAGACATGAATTTGGCAATCGCTACAGCAAGAATCCCAATAATCAATCCCTCACGCACGACAGTGGAATGTGGGGGGGGGGGGGGGGGACGAGTGAATCGAATCTTACAGTGGTGAGAGGAATATCAATATCGTCGGTAGAGATCTGCTCGTTCACATTGTACAACACCTTAACGAGGTTTTCCGAGAATGGGCGTCCGTTCACCACGGCCTCCTGAGCACGACGCACCTTGGCGGCAGCCACGAGCTTCATGGCATCAGTGATTTTCTGCGTGTTCTTTACGGTAGCAATTCGATCCCTCAGGTCCTTCAATCCGGCAGTCACAACAGAGCTGCCACGGCCGTCGCGCCGGACAGGGCTCTCCCCGATCAGCGTGTCAACGGCGCCTACAGGCTCCGCACCTCGAAGGCCCAGAGAGCGGGCAGACAGGCCCTCGAATGTAGCCATCTTGAGCGACGAACCACAGGCGACGGAGGACGCCATCGCTTACCAACCGAGTTCCAAAGGAGGAAACACAGTCGCTGAGCGGAATGGATTCACAACACAGGGAGTGGTGGGGGGAGGAGTGACAGGGCTGAAATGCTGCGAGTAAGTGGAGCAGATTGCCTGTGGTGCCGATTCCGATACTATTCGATGCCTTATCCAGCATCGCAGGCATCGAATGGCCGAAAACCCCCTATTCCACGCAGAGGCTGGCCTCTTCCCCGTCTCGCTCTCGGCCTCCCTCGGCCTTCCTTCCTTCCTTCCTTGGGCCTCTTCCACGGTGTGGCTCCGCTTCCGCTTCCACCTCTACCCCATGCGATCTTCTCCTGGTGTGGATAAGGAAGGCGCTCCTCCTCCTCCTCCACATCCACTCCCTTCGACCCTCATTCATCTATCTATTGTTCATCCATCCCCTCCCCTTCCTCCTCTGCCCTACCTTCCTTCGCGTTTCCTCTCGTGAAAGTGAAATTATTGCTGAATTGTTGTGGTGTGGAGCGTTTCAAATTCTTAGTATATGGAACATGTATTAAATGCAACCCATTTTTTTCTATTACTTATCTCTGATTAAATTATAATATAGGAAAAATAAACATGTGAAGATTTTAATTTTTGGGAAAAAAATTTCATGTGGATTTTGGTATTATCTACATGTCTGCATCTTAGTTTTTAATAAAAATATATTGATCCAATTTTTTTAATCGAGATAAATATTTATCAAAGGTGTTTATCAAAAATATTCCATTATCAATACTCAATTTAGAATGCTTTATTCTATTTATTTTGAGAATCTTATCAAATGAACTTTTTAAATATCATGATTCTTTTAAGTTTTCAGTACATAGTTTATAAAATTTATAAATAAAACTTAGATAGGATATAATGATGAAAGCATAGGTTTTTTTCTTATTCCATTATAAGTATAATAAAGTTGTTTTATTCTTTTATTTTATATTTTAATGATATTCTTATATTAATTAATTTAATATTTTATTTTAAAATAGCACATACATACATACATACATATATATATATATATATATATCACTTAATTTGATTTGAGAACATATGCATTTCACAACAATTCTTAAAAATTCAAACTATGAGATAGTATTGTTTTTGACATACTATCATAGTTGTTTAGGTTTTAATTCTTCTCTCCTTGAAGTAACTTGTTAAACTAGTTAGTTTCAATTAGATAAATTTTTTCGTAAGTAAGAATATATAATATAATCATAAAAATAATTTTATAAATATAATATATATTAAAAAATTAACTAAAATTAAATATAAAATTAACTAATATAATTTATTTTTAGAAATTATTCTACAACCTAATAAAAATATTTTTAAAAATTAAGCTTAAATATATATATATATATATATATATATATATATATATATAAGTCTTCATCAATAAAGATTAATAAAAGCAATGTCTTTCAAATATTATACAAGAATTCTAGAATTATTTTATTTTATTTTATAAAATATTAATATAACAAAATATCTAAATTTTCATTAAAAAAATAAAAGATAGAAATAGCTAAAGAAAAGTTTAAAATATTAAATAAATTTTATAATTTTGTATCATAGATATATGTCTACTGTAATTGTTATCTAAATAGGTAGAATTAGGTAAAAGTAGATTTATTTCATAATACCTTTTACAGAAGCTTATTAGATGTTGTTTTGACTTTACATATGTTTGTAATTGATTAATAGATTAGAAACTTGGTCAACGAGCTACTCATGTACCATATGTATTGGTAGCTTACATAATAAGCTAATTATGTGGCAGTCAACTAGAAAACTTGTCTTCCAAGTCAAGATATATGTTATACAAAGTCAACATATTTTTGGAGGTCCTTTAGAACATTGGCACACAGATCTACATAGATAGTATATATAGAGGCAAGAGTGAAGCCTTCTTCACTCTTATTAAGTCTTTTCTTGCTTCTAGTCTAGATTCAAGAGTCTCTAATTTTCTTGTCTTTTAACAATATCTATATTAGTTTCTTTTTAATATATATATATATATATTATTTTATTTCTATTTTGTCATTTTTCTTTTGATACAAATTTCTTAAGTTAATGCATCTTTGTTTCACTTGATGTCTTTGTTAGAATGATAAAAGTATACTTACAATATTAGAGTTTTATCTTTTTTTAATTAAGAATAGATTACTCCTTTCTCTTAATAAGACATAAACATATTAAAAGTTACAGATTACCCTCTTTTAAATTAATATTATTCTTAATATCTTCTTTATTCTCAAGTCCTCTCTTTTACTTGTCTTGAGCGATATTATTTATATATATATTTTAAATGTCATCATGGCAGAGCTTCTTGAAATGAAGAGTGCAATCACACAAATAGAAGAGCAATTGAGGGAGCTGATGCTTTTGATGCATCAACTCAATTTATCTCCACTTACAACACCAAAAATATCAAGAAGTGAAGATATAGACATGGTTGGAATTGCTTGAGCATCTATGTCAAATGACATCTCTTTTTCTATAATAAAATATCTTTTTAAATTTAGAAAATCTAGAGTTAGCTTATTTGAGAAGTTTGATGGAATAAGATCCAAGTTTTGAGGATTTATCAATCAAATACAACCTATAATTGAACTTCAACTCTAAAGCTATCCAATTCCAAGATCTTAAGTTAGATTTATTAATACACTTCTTTCGAATTTAATATTATCATGTTTTTTATCTTTTTTTGAACAATAAGATTCAATACTAAATAATTTAGAGGTTTTTTTGTAACAATATATTTTACAAAAAGGCATTCAATCAGTGATATAATATGCTTCAAAATTTCAATAACTAGTAATTGATATTAAGTGGGTTGATATTGCCCTTATCAACCAATTTTCTTATGGATTAGAAAATGAGGTAAAGAAATTGATGCTCAACTTACTTGTTTTTCAAACATTAAGTTAAGCAATTGATTTTGCTGTGAATTATAATAATTGGATTTTTGAGTTTCAATCTAAGAATTGTGCAAAAAAATCTCTATGCTATTACAATTCAATGACAACATTGACAACCTTTTAATGAAGTAGAAGACATGCAAATTGATGTAGTATGTTTTAAACCTCTTATTGAACAACAAAAGATTCATTGTTGTCATAAAGGATTGTGTTTATATTGTGAGGAAGCTAAGCACACTACTTAACATTGTCAAAAGAAACAACACCACTACAAAATGAAAAATACAACTATCGAAGATGAAAAAATATCAAATAACAAATTTGTACAACTACAATAGGGACTATGCAGTTGGATGCTTGTACAAATGAAGGTTCTATCTTCTCCTCAGAATCCTCTCCTTATTTTACAATAGATGTAAATTTAGGATCTAATAATGACAAAGCCTCTGTCTTAATAGATTTAAGAGCTTTAGCTTCTTTTCTAGATGAAGACTTTATTAAAAGCTATAGAATATCATTAATATAAAAAGCTTAATCCGTACATGTAGAAGTTATAGATGGCCATCCGTTATCTTTTGGAGATATTATTCATAAAATACTTCTTATAGATGTAGAAATAAATGGTCATAATAGTTGAGTAATTTTTAATATAATTAGGTCTTCTTCTAATCCGGTCATTTTAGATTTATTGTGATTAGAAAAGTATAATCCTTTGATAGACTGGATTTCTTATAAACTTGACTTTCCTCAAAGTACTATTAAGAGTTTTGTGAAAAGCCATAAGTCTAGTATAGGCAAACCTATACTTGTAAGTGCAAAAGCTTTTTTGCATGTTACAAAAAAAAAGAATACTTTTTATTATTTATGCCACACTCATTTTTAATGACAAAAAGTCTTCAAGTGGCATTCCAAGTCAATATTAAGATTTTTAAGATATTTTTGAAAAGAAGAATGCAGATATTTTCTTGGAGCATTGTTTATATGATTGTTCAATCGACCGTAAAGAGAGAAGTCAGCCACTATTTGGTCTAATCTACAATTTATCACAAAATAAGTTGACTAAATTTAAGAAGTACATTGACGAGAATTTCTCCAAAAATTTCATATATCATTTTGTCAAGGACATACACTATGAAGTTGTAAAAGATTCTAAAAGGTTCTAGATAAGCTTTGTAGTTTGTGGAAGCTGCTTGAGAAGCTTCATAGATTATAGAAGCTACTTGAGAAGCTTCTTAGTTTGTGGAAGCTACTTGAGAAGCTCCCTAGCTTGTAGTATATATAGGAGCCGAGACTAAGGGGATTCTCAATCTTGACAACACATCTCTTGGAGCTCTAACTCACCTCTCTAGTGTTGTTCTTGTACTCATCTGATTAATCTAGTTCTTATCAATTCTTCTTGAGCTTCTTGTTTAGATTTCCAATCAATATTCTAAATTCGTGACACATTTAAAATCTTGTACTAGAGCTACTATCTTATTTGTAAAGAAAAAAGATGGATCACTGCAAATATACATAGATTATTAAAGACTTAACAAGATTACCATCAAGAATAGATATTCTTTATCATTGATATTTAAACTTTTTTATCAATTAAATCAAGCTAAGATCTATACAAAAGTAGATCTATGAGGAGCATACAACTTGGTGTGCATTAAAGAAAGAAATGAATAGAAGACTGAATTTCAAATAAGGTATGGATACTTTGAATATAATATCATGTCTTTTGGACTCATGAATGCATTAGTTGTTTTCAATATCTTATGAATGATATTTTTTACGAGTTTTGAGATGATTTTTTTATCTATTATTTCAACAATATTTTAATCTATTCTAAGAACAATAAAAAGCATGAAGTTTAGGTTCATCATGTATTACAAAAACTTAGAGATATATGATTCTATAATAAGTTAGAAAAGTGTATATTCCACACTACTCAAGTTGACTTCTTAGAATATATCATTTCTAACAAAGGACTTATGATGGATTTGAAGAAGGTTTAAACTATTATAGATTAGAATATTTTAAAAATAATAAGAGATGTGAAATACTTTTTGGACTTTGCCAATTACTGTCAGATCTTCATTAAGAATTTTTCTAAAGTTGTAGCTCCTCTTACACGTCTTACATGCAAATACAAACTTGATTGAAAGAAAGAAGTTGAAGCATCTTTTAAAGCTTTTAAGTTGGCATTTATTTTTGCACCAATCTTGTATCGTGTCAACTTTTTGAAGGCATTTTTTATGGAAATAAATACATTAGATTTTGCTATGGGTGTTGTTTTGTCATAAATAAGAGAAGATGATAAGCTCCACTCAGTAGCTTTTCATTTTAAGCAATTTTCAGTAACTCAAAAAATTCTAAGTT